TATTGTGGTTCGATATCGGCGGTTGCGACAAATGAGCAGCTCTTTAGGGACGTTCTCAAAKTTTCAGATCGATATCATAGAAACTGTGGTACTAATTTGGGTATATGCTGGCAGACGAAAGACATGGCCAAATCGACTTAGATGGATTGGTGGTGGATAACCACATTTTTACTACCACCATCTCTATCTTTTAAATCTATTTAAGCCCTGAGTGCCACTGACCTTTGGGCGCATATATTTTTATACCCTTGAAACATGTTTCTATAGAGTATAATGGTTTTATTTACCGACAGTGATAATGACGGGATGATGGAGTCATGTGCAGAAGTTTACGCAAGTGAGGAAAGTTCGCTGATCGCCATTCATTTGGGAGTGGCCAGAAACGATTCTTTTACATATGGCTCAAGCAGCTCMCGACTTCCGGTTTTTGACCAAATATCCTCTGGGTGGCCTAAGAACATCCGTTTGAAGGCGAGCTAAAGTGAGAAGTCGAAATATCCCTCCCGGTGTTGTGCGCTGGGTTTGGGACTCGCCACGTAATAAAACACTAGCAATGAAAAATTTTCAACAGCCTTTTGATGAGTCGACGTTGCGAGTTTTCGAGAGAAAAGTTCTGCGAACGATCTATGCTCCTTTGCGCGTTGGCCACGGCGAATATCGCATTTGATGRAACGATGAGCGATGACRAGATATATGACGACATTGACATAGTTCAGCGAATTAAAAGGCAGTGGCTACGTTTTCTAGGTCACGTTGTCCGAATGGACGAAAACACTCCAGCACTGAAGGTATTCGACGCTGTATCTGCCGGGRTAGGCAGTGGAAGAGGAAGACCTCCACTCCGTTGGAAGGACCAAGTGGAGAAGGACCTGGCTACGCTKGGAATATCCAATTGGCGCCATGTAGCGAAAAGAAGAAACGACTGTCGCGCTGTTGTTAACTCGGCTATAATCGCGTAAGCGGTGTCTACGCCAATTAAGAAGAAGAAGATAATTACCCACAAAAACTAAGCGAAGTAGATACAAGGTTATATATACATATATGTATACATATATGATCAGGATATCGAGACGAGTTGAAATTCGGGTGACTGTCTGTCTGTCCATTCGCTCATCCGTCCATTCAAGTGTAAGTTGAGTAAAATTGAGATACCTCGATGAAACTTGATATGTGCGTTTCTTGCAAAATAAAATTACGAGTTCATGGATGGGCATAAACGGACCACTACTACGCCCACAAAATGATATAAATTAAGATATGGAACTGCAATTTAGCACAAGCACAAGCAGTAGTTAAGGACACCTATTGTCCAAAAATTTTTAAAAAGTGAGCGCGGACTTTTCAACCCCTTGTGTCCCGTATCTATGGACGCCAATACCTATGGTTGACCTTTTACCGAATATATTGCTCTATGTGTCATATTTATAAAAGAAATTTACAGAGAATGTGTTCGTGATAATAATATCTCTGTGTATCATAAATGGTTTGAGTCGAATCAATACTTCTCTGAGCCCCCATATTGGTAATATAAAGATTTTCCAACTTCCGGGTGATTTTATATCGCAGCTATCGGTCAATATTTTAGTGAACTCAATGAAAATGAGAGTACGCATTTTACTCATAACAATAAACCTTTGCGCCTAAAATGGATAAATTTGGACGAAAACTTGACCTAACCCCCTTATAACTAGTACCTGGATTGCATATACACACAGCTGTTAGTATGGTACCGGGCAGCCAAAAGTAATTCTTTAAATTTTTAGAGTGAATATTATGTTTTTTTTTTTGTGGACGCAACGCTTGCACTCATATCTAAGTTACAAGTTCGTTGAAAAATTCAGCTTACGGTCTCATGGAATTCATATTTTAATATAAAGCATACCAAGTTCTACACAGCCTTTAGCTGATAACAGCCAATTTACATCAGATTTGGTTATGAGTGGCTGTGAGTCAGTGTGCCAAAACCGGAAACGGTTGCTGCAAGTGCGTCGCGTGTCTGTCGACATGTTATTACCGAAGCACTAATGCATCAGCTTTAGCCGGGAAGTGTAAACGGAAATATGCCATTCGAGTCGCTTCCGTGCTTGTTGCTTTGACGCAATATTTTCTTTTAATATTTCGTTGYTTAGTCGCATGATTCCTAAAATTGTTTTTACATCATCATCAAACTAGTAAAGGAAGCATATTTCAAGTTTACTTTTCAACCTTCGCTCTCTAGATATTGGAGCCCATCAACAATTTGTTGGAAATCGTGGAGTTCGATGCCATTTTCTATTCGYTGGATTGGCATCCAAGCGACCATGTCTCGTTCATTGATAATGTGAAAATGCGTCCCATGGATGAGTCGTCGCCGGTAAGTTTCAAAAGTTGCAAAAGTTTCTTTAAATTTATTTTTTGAGAAAAAAACAAAAATATATATATACTATTATAATATATGTAATATTTTAATACTTGCCGAAGTCATGCTGTTGGGCATTCTTGTAAGCACATATCTTTAAGGCATCTGTACTCAACTAAATYCTCTTACAGGTCGACGCAGACTCAGCGCAAGTTTTCGATACAGTTATCTTTGCCGGCCCACCGCCGATGAAGCAACGTTTGTGGCCACGCCACTGTGTACAGGATTCGTGGGGTGCCGAGCTGCATAAGGACTTAAAAGTAGTGGATAATGGTATTAAAATTTATAAAGGCACAAATCCCGAAGTCGATTCGTATTCCGTTTTCTGGGACAATAAGAAGCTCTCTGACACAACACTGAATGCGCAGCTCAAAATGAAGGGTACAACGGATATTTATGTATGCGGACTGGCATATGATGTGTGTGTGGGTAAGCGTATGACCAGAAAAAGTAATTTAACTGATTTAAAATGTTTGTTATCTCCTTTCCACTTTCCCTTCCTCAATTCGCACATGTTTTTTTTTTTTGCTTATTTCTGATATTTTCATTCATTATTTTTCAGGTGCAACCGCTGTCGATGCCTTGTCCGTTGGCTATCGTACCATTTTGATTGACGACTGTTGTCGCGGTACTGATTTCCACGACATCGAACACACTAAAGAGAAGGTGATAAGCAACCATGGTGTCGTGGTGCACTCGAATGAGGTGAGCGCAATATTAATCGACATATATTTTTAGCTGATAAAATGGTTTCTAGTTGATATATACATATGTCTGCACATATGTACAGCATTGTAGCTTTTTAGTGACTTCAGAAAGTTTGAAGTAATTAAAAATAAGACGGGAGTTTCGAGATTGGGTTGTTTGTAGTTTTATGCCCTGAATTGGGTATATTAACTCTCCAGCGGTTCTCTCCCGTGCATCGGCCCCTGTTGCTTGTTTACGTATACTCCAACTCGAAGCCACTAAAAATATGTTTTTTTTTCTACTCCTAGGTGCGTGGCATGATCGAAGGYCGCGATCGACGCCCAGAGCTGGGCTACAAACTGGCTATGGAACTTAAGAATCCCGACTCTGCACTATCMCAGCGCAATGGCATACGTCCAATCGATTAAACATCGATTAGTTGACATATGGTAGTTAGCAAAAGACCTCTGAGGCATAAGTACAACAACAACGCAATTATTCCAGTATCCTATGAAAACGCTTAACAAAATGGCTTCAAAGGCATGCACCAGGAACATGCACTTATTCTAAATGCATATAAATGAAAGCCAGTAGAAAAAAGAAAAATTACGAGTTTCAAGCAAAAAACTCAAGCTGATGTGAGATAGAATATTTAAATGACAACAAAAATCCGAATATTTAGTAGTGGCTTAGCTTTTAATGGATTAGATTACTTAATTTATTTTAACTGATAAAAAAAAAAATAAAAAGAAAATTATTTAAATTATACAAAATAACAATAAATATATACCAACTACTTAAGAACATTGTCAAGTTCCTTCAAATAAAATCTAACGCACGTGATATTATAAATGAAACGCTTACAATTACATATAAATCCTACATTTGAGAAAATATTTAAAATGGATTTAATGAAACGAACGTAAATTGTGTTGAGTGTGAAATGAAATTGAACAAATTGAGTACAGAATAAAGCTGTTAAACAAACGAAAAGTTTATGATGAATAAAGTGTGTTTGTATTTTTCGCCGAACCGCGAGTTAAATGCAAAAACGACCGGCAAAACGCGAGAGCGCAACAGCTTGGAAGCCATTAAGCCGCTACCACTTGTGGGCAGACAACAGCAAGCTAACTTTATTTCAACAATTAGGAAAGGGTTATGTTAGAATGTAGCCAAATATTTCATACGCTTGCAAATTTTTCGAATTWCATTGATATATCTCACAGATATTTTCAATTAAAAGTTCGCTATTGGAACAGGAGTTCCCATTTGCGGTATCTGGGGCTCAAATAGTTGTAGAAAAAATTGCGTCACACCTCCGAATATAGTAAAGGGTGATCCATTTTGAGTTTCCCCACTTAAAAAAAACACTGAAGCTTCAGATTTAATGGGGAATGTTTGTTATCATTCGAAAGAACAATMTTTGGCATTTATTTTTGGAACACTATCTCTTCCAAATGTTAGTGATGGCTACGTCTCAAATGTTCTGTGTTTTTGTTTTTTGAAGTAGGGARTCTCGAAATCAATCACCCGTTATGATGTTGAGGGGCAAAACGTATCGGCGGTGCTATGTGACTCTTAAGAAGAACTAGGAGAAAAATATATTAACAGGTTTTTCAATAGGGTCGGTACAAAAGTAGACCGTTAGGGACAGCAAATGACGTCATATTTTCCCCCGCTCTTTTGACATTTCTTTTCAGTAAGGTTCGCCATATCCTAATGGAGAAATAAACGATCCAACAACGAGTCAAAATTATAAAAGTTTACTATCAAAATTTCGAAGTCAGCGGCCTCAACTTTAAGAGCACTACGTCCAGTTTGTGGTCGTCATATTCGTCCCGGTGGATCAACAATTCCGCATGTAGTGCAGAAAAAAAAAAATGAATCCGCAGACATCGTAGAAAATGCATTCGTGCCAGTGAGACAAAGAAGTGCTCGTAGTGTCGAGACCCATATCAGAATCTTACACGTCATTCTCAAGCGTTGAACAACTCTGCAACGCGTTTTGTGGCGAATTTTGCGAAAAGATCTTGGCCTACAACCTTATAAGATTAAATTGTCGCAAGAGCTGGAGCCGCTTGTGTACCAACCAACTCGTCGTATGTTCGTGAATTGAACTGAGCAACAAAATAATAAATAAATAAGCAAAATTTGCATTAGGGGTCAAGCAGCAATTCACACGTACTCTATGAGTCACCATTTCATCCCGAAAGAATTACAGTTTGGTGCAGTTTATGGGTCGGCGGCGTCATTGGGCCGTACTTCTTTCGTGATGATAAAGATCGCCACGTTACTGTGAATGGGAGGCGCCAACGCTCAATAATAACTGAATATTTTTTGCACGAATTGGATGATGCGGACTTAGATAACATGTGGTTATCAACAGGACAGCGTTACAAGCCAATTGGTCGCCTCAGTTGTGCGATTTGACGCCGTTAGAATATTTCCTGTCAATCTACAAGTACTTCAAGTCTATATACCAACAAGCCAGCGAAGATTGATGAGCTTCGAATATCGGATGTGAAATTGCAGCAGTATCGTTTTTGTTTTATTTCAACTATTTTTTGTAACGACAGATTACCTACTGACCCCTTAACATATTTTTTGTCAAAAAAGTCTTGCGGCATTTTCACTAGTTGGCGCGGAGAGCGGGTAGTTTTAGTTTGATTCGTCGCATATTTTACAGTACTACTATGGTAAAGGCAAAAATGCATCTCAAACCGCCAATAAAATTTGTGCAGTTTATTGACCCGATACAGTTTCCTTTTCCACCGCACAACGATGGTTTCAACGTTTTCGTTCTGGTGTAGAGGTGGTCGAAGATGAGCAACGCTCCGGAAGGCCTGTCGTCGAAAATTGCGATAAAATCGCTGAATTGGTTGACTGCATAGTAGCAGCCGTAGCATCGGTCAAGAGCTGGGTATGAGTCATTAAACCGTTATAAAAAAAAAATTAAAAAAAATAAATAAATAAAAATACCGCAAGACTTTTTTGACAAACTAATATCATAATATTTGTGAGTTGTGCTTCGAGTATTGGGAGCGTCCTTGCTTACAAAGGCGCCTGGATTTAACAATGAGCCTTTTATAAAAAAAAATCTCTCTGAAACTTCAARCCATATTTTGTATTTTTGATATTTCCAACATAAATATCACACACCATTAATTTTTCAACGCAAGGCTTAGGCACTGAAAAGCTATACTCTGAAGTTTAAGTCAAACTCAAAGTTATACATATTAAAAAACCAAATATTACATTATTTGAGTGCCACCATAGTAATCTTAAACAAAACACGACCATTCAATTAATCTTTCGTTATGTTTCTTTAGCGCTTAAATCTGATTGCCGTTGAGACATTTGGTATTTTGCTGTTATTGTTTTCCTAATGTGTAACTTTGTATGTGCGAAAATTTGTATTACTGACACGTTGCAGTTGGCAGTGTGCCAGTTGTTGCTCGGACTTATCGCTGGCAGATCCTTTGAGGTATCAACACAAGCTAACAGCAATGTGATATGCCTTAGAGTTGTGTTCGAGTTTAACAGTTATACGATGGCAATATTCACTACGTGTCCGCCATGTCTGCAGCTTCGGGTAAAAGAAACGATTGAGTAGCGTGGTTGTTGCATGTTGCTGTTGTTCACGGACATGCATTCAGCTACGTTGCAGCTACTTGCTGTTACACTGGTTCCTACTTGCTAGTCGTTGCTGAAACTTGAGTGTGGTGTTATTGCTAAACGTTGGACTGTGCCAAGTTTGCTGTTGTTTATGTTGTTATGTCATAAGAAATGCTGAGGACGACAGCTCAGGACGGCGTGTTGTTGTTTTCGTGTTGGTGGATTGTTGATTTAACTTTCTAGTTTCTTTGTCAAGTATCAAAATTTGTTGGCTATTGTTTTTGATGCTCGGTTATGCGGTGTTTTGGCTCTTGTTTACTGTGAAATATTGTGCAAGTTTTTGAAAATGAAATGTGATTATCCCGTGCTACAGTGTGGAAAGTGAGATTTGGTTTTAATTCAATGTCATTAATGCTTAAATTTGTAAATTGGCTGGTGACGCATTGTGTCTGTCCATTGGCAAGTCGTAGATAATTTCGTGTGCCTTRAAACCAATATAGCAACAGTTGCTACTTCGGACTGAGTAGGCAGTTGAGAAGTAAAATCCTCTCCCGCCGAAACAAAGACTAAACTCTATAGGTCACTCATTATTCCCGTCTCCTATATGATGCAGAGGCATGGACGATAACAACATCTGATGAGTCGGCAAACGAGTTTTCGAGAGAAATAAAAATAAAAAAAAACGCCTTCGATGGAACGATGAGCTGTATGAGATACATGAACTTTGCCACCTTTGACCCCCCTCTTASAAATCTCTTCAACTATTTCATTGCCATCGATGCCTTGTGACCTGTCACGAAGTAAAAGTGAAGTCGCTTGTTTCTACCGATGCTCTTCACTACTGGCCTGCTTCCTACGACACTTTKGGCCGATATGCGATACGAGGTGCCTGCCTTGATTGCTGYTTGGTTGGCTAGGTAGATGTTGACTCTGCAGTTGCCTGCAGGTGCATTAGAGGCTAGCCCAGCGGCTTTCGCAATAACGAAGACCTTAGCTTGAAATATACTACAATGGACCGGATGAGATGTTTACGAGGGCTAGCATACCTTTACGTCAACCATMTTTTTCTATGTTTACTCTGAAACTTCATTCYCTATTGAAAAGTGGGATCATGTAGTCGGTGTTTGTCCAACTGCCATTATCCATCGAACTCTGTTCTAAGGTTCTATAAGTAAATTCACTTCAGCCAGTCGTYACCCTCCCGATTTTGATGTGCTGAACACAATTACTTCCATTTTCTTCGGATTCAACACCAGCCCCGCATGCGGTTCACCTTACGGATTGTTTTATATATTTCCTTGATCATTTTAGCGCAATTCTATTCGGCTCTTATCCTTCCAGATTACAAGCCTTTTGATTCAACACTTATTGACTGGGTAGTATTCAGAATAGATTCTGTAAATTCGCTGTTGAATGCTCCAGAAATGCTCYGCAAAGACTTCCCATTAGTGCAAAGGGCGTATTCCTTAGAATCAAGAGAGCTCTATCGCTATTTATGGAGTACAGTCTCCTCTGATCTTCCGTTTGTGGACGCATATTGTGCTTTGGACAAGCTTTCTGGAGACGCTGCGGCCCTGACCTGCATATGCAAAATATTATCTAACGTTTTCAATAGGAAGAAGCTATAGGTCTAAACACTTTCGAGTAGGTTGCTTATTCAATGTGTCTTCGATACGAAAACTACCCTGGTCACTATCTATGATGCCTTAAATGTCAAATCATAGGAATGAGAGACTTGGAAGTGCCATAACTGAAAAAGAGGCTTAAATTGACAAAAAACCTTGTAGTTGAGCTTTAACACAACTTTCTTTTTGGAGCATATATTAAAACCTAATCCCTTGATTTAAATATTTGCTTAGGTCGTTGAAAGAAATGTGCGTATAACATAAATATACGAGTACATACATGCATATACTAGACATGGAGTTAAAAGTTAGTAATTGCGGTTTGTAATTTTACGCAAAYCCTAGCGTGAACAATGTGGGAAAATTGCGCCAATAAATCTGACAAAGTGCTGGAAAATGGCAAAGTCAATGCATTGYAAAGTTTGGAAGTCTACATRCATATGTACTCGTACATGTGTAAATATGTTTGAATGACTTAGGTGCAAGTTTGTGTGCATCGCCGGCTAAGTTGAAAAATGTTGGCTCTAATTTTGAATTCTAGGAACTTGTCACATGTGTACATTGTTTATAAAGGGTGGCTTATTTGGAAGAAACAAAACTTTTATTTCGAATAAGAAAAGTAAAGACTCTAATAATACTTCAGATTATTATTATTACTATATATTTTAACTCTAAATAACACCCTATATATCTTAAATGGCGCTTTGGCGAATCTATTTGCACAGCATATATCTAAAAAGT